GGTGGACAATTAATGTTTACAATTAACATAATAATTGTATGTATGGATCTTATGTAATTAATAACTTATCTAGTTAATGTAGTTAATAGCTATTTTTTAAAAAAGAATTGAGGATGTTAATTAACTTTATATATTTTCTTATACTTTACTTTACACACACACACACACACACACGCACGCGCGCGCACGCACACACACACACACACACACACACACATATATATATATATATATATTTATGTATATAATTATTATTATATTAATAAATTATTTTCAACTATCAAAAAAAGGTTTTATTAACAATTTATATTGAATTATTTTTTTTTAATAACATTTGAAACATTACACATCTTTATGACAATTTGTTTTTGCTAAACTGGTAAATATTACTTAAAACTTGTGTAGTTACACTAAACATCTCAAATGGTCACGTACATAATCAAAATTGCTTATATTAGTATGCAATTAATTAGCAATACTTTATCATACATACCTTATTATGATACACTCCGAACACAATTGACAATAATGTTATCACAATGTCTAACCCAAGGCATATATGATATTCGATATTATAATATTCATTATTAAAATAAGATATTATTATAAATTTAAATAAGAAAAGAAAAATTGGCCAAAATAGCAGCATATACGAGAAACTAAACCATATTCTCGGATAACCTGCAGGAAATTCAATAATATTTAAACCGGACACATAACTGATTATCAAAAGCGGTGTTAAAACTGTTCGAATGCTTTTAATCATCATGTATACTGTTTCGATTTCAAACTGCATGTCATTTGCAAATTGGTTGTGCTAGCTTTATCTTATGATTATAATTTCAATTAGTGCACTTACAGTTATTGAAATATAATCGATCTGTTTTATATGTGATATATTTAACAATATAGATAATGATGTGTCTTCTTTTTAGATAGAATATGTAAAAACATAATTATATTTATTACATATTCACAATTGACATATGAATATTGTTCTTAATATACTTTTTTTTCATCTCTTTATTTCTTATTTGTTTATAATATACTATATATTGTAAAATCTTACCAAATAAAAAATGAGTAAATAGTGTCTATTTCAATCAATAACCAATTTGTTTTTAACGTATAATAATGTTTTAGAAGCTGTATATATATTGTATATATATATACGTACATATATAAATAATCATAAATCAGTTTTTTCCTATATTACGTGATTATTCTATCAAATATTCTATCATATTGACTTTATAGATAAAATTAATTTTATGCAAAGAATAATTCTTATGACAACGAATAAGCTAAAGATATATCTGATATCTATATAAAGTAAAAAGTTGTGATTTTTATTTGCAATGTTCCTTTAAAAAATGACAAATATTTCAATTTAATAGAATATATAATATATGTTACTTATTTAAAAAAAATGTGTATTACATATTAAATACTTATTTTAGGGGGGGAGGGAAGGGTCAATGTCTATTTAGGTTTTAACGTATTATATTATTTACAACTTATTTAACATATTTTTATTAATCTGAGTATTAACATAACTACGACAATCATGACAGACGTGATAAATTATAACAGTAAAAAAACAGTATTTTTTTAAATATTTATGGATTTAATTATTTGTAATTATATATTACACAATAATATAATGTTTATTAATAATGCTGATTCCAGTTCTAGAAAATATTTAGAAGAAAAAGCATTATTTTATACAGTACATTCTAAGTATTATTTGTGTCAATGTTTCTTGAAATCATTTATACAACATTGTATTATTATAATTTAATAGTCATCATTTTTATTAAATGTTATCTTATTTATGCATGCCTGTATTAATAACACTACAACGGTCGTAATCGATGAAGTTAACTGAAAAATATTAATTTCTCTTTTGTAATAATTAATTTATGATAAATAATTGTGCTCATAATAAACATTTCACAACGTACCCCATAGAGAAATTTGTAATACTGTGTATTACAAATTGTTTTGTCCATACTGAAAAAGTCCAATTCCATAGAATCTGACTGGCGCTTGAGTTATTTGCAATAGAAGCTGTGATATCTATATTGACATAAAAAACTCTTAATAAACTTTATAATGTATATTACAAATTTTTATTTTTATTTTAAAATTAAGTTATGGGTTTATTTTAACAATATTGAATAAGTTAATATTAAAACTTACATTTTCCCGAATTTCAATATTAAAAGTAGAATAAGATATTTTGTTTATTAAATTTCCTGTTGCATTGGCCTGAAATCGGAATAAAATTTGAATGATTCTTTTAATTCAAAAAAGTTATATGAAAAAATTTGATATTATTAATAATTAGATAATTGTCGAAAAAAGTTCATATATTATAATTACATTTAAATACAGAATTAATACCTTAGTGCAGACTACTTCACATACATAATTAATGAAGAAAATTTTCAAAATGTTATTGCAAACCAAGAATAGCATTAAAATAATAAATAATATTTGTTAGATTTGATATAATTATTGATGAGTTATCACACTGAAAAGTTCATTTAAATCCTGCGCTAACCAAAAGAAATTACATCCCATTTTTAAAAGTCATCTGTGCTCCAAATATTGAATCTATCTCATGAGATATTTTATGTAATTCCAAATGAAGATGTCTACAGACGAACATAATATTAAATTTTACTGCTCAAAACTCAATAACTACGTTGATGGAATTACTTTCTTACATTACGATCCATATCAACCATTCATTACTTAAAGTTTGTGGAACTCGTTGGTGGGTGGAATTTATCCAAGCTTGCTTTATTTCATGTTTGTTACGTCTAGTTAAATTCAAAAGATGTTGGTTAACTTGATCAAATTTTAATCCTATGTATCTAGAAATGTAAAAGGAAACTAATAATTAAAGGAACAAATACATGTAAATTTATTATCGTATTTTGAATATACAGGTTAATATACAGGGTGTCCCATTTTAATCGGATGACCCCGAATAACTTTTTTAATTTTGATTGTAGGAAAAAATGTTTCAGACAAAAGTTGTATGGCTTGAAGGGGACATAAGATAGTATCGTTGGTTTTATCTTAAAAAGTTGTTTGAAGGTCACATGAAGGCCACCTTCAATTTTTTTAATGGAACTCCCTATTTTTTATTACTTCCTTGTAGCTTATCTCGAGAGTTTTTCAAAACACTATAATAAAGTATTTCTTCATTGAGTACTTTTTGAGTTATGAGACTTGAAATCATTTCTTAATTTTACATAAAATTAATTTTACGTAAATATCTAGTAAAATATTCATTTTTCAATTATCCTACTTCTATGTACAAAATAATGGGAGGAATCAATTGCTGTAAAGAAAACACATAATTATTTCGAAGAAAAAATATGTAATTTGCAATTAACAATTCCATATTTTTTTTTAAAACAACTGTGTTTTTCCTTTACACCAATTGATTCCTCTCATTATTTTGTACATAAAAGCATTAAGGTAGGATAATCGAAAATAACTAGATATTTTACTAGATATTTACGGTTTGTGTAAAATTAAGATATTAATTTCAAGCCTCATAACTCGCAAGATACTTAATGAAAACTAACTTAATTATAGTGGTTTTGGAAAGCTCTCGAGATGAACTAAAAAAATATGCAAAAGGATACAGGGTATCCATTTAAAAGTTGGATGTAACCTTCACATGACCTTCAGGTGACTCTTCAATGTCAAACTAAAGACACCGTCTTATGTCCCCCTTCAATCCATACAACTTTTGTTTGAAACATTTTTTCCTACAATCAAAATTAAAAGTTATTCGGGGTCATCGATTAAAATGGGACACCCTGTATGTAATGTATTAAGATTTCAAAGGAAACTTATATTTTATNTTATATTATTTAATATAATTCGATCAAAATAAAATTATGATGTAAGAAGTGGTAAGCAAATTTTCCTTATTATTTTATGGATAAAGCTAATTCGGTTAATAATAAGTACAGTGTATCATTAATTCGACTGGAAAGTCAATTTGGAGTAAAATAGCGATACTTGTTCTTTAATAACTTTTCCCACGAATAGATAAAATTTCAATTTATAAAGCTAAAGATAAAATGAAAACATAAAAGAAATATTTTTTCTCTTTGTCATTTCTGCAGACTGCACAATATTAATAGTAAATAAAAAGATAACAATATTTCCACTGGCCCACATTCTCAAATATTAATGCAGAAAAATATTTTCATTGTCCATTTTTCCATTCATTAATGCGATATTCATATATTTGTTCAAAGAACACGCGCTTTATTATCCTTCTGTTAAGATTCCTGGTTCTCTCTCGCAATCATAAATAAAAACTGATAAAATTATTATTAATATTATTAATATTAAAAATATAATTAAGCGAGAAAGCAAATATTTATTTCTTACATAATAATTTGAAATAATAAATATATATATATTATATATATATATTTATTTATTTAAATTAATAATACTAATAAAAATAATTAATATTTATTTAAATAAATATATTGAAGCAATATATTTATAAATAAATTGAAATAAATTCGTTTTTCCGAACGTCATTACTCGTGTCCGATCATATAGATTGGAAAAATATATTGAAGAATAATTCTTTTTTATCTTGCATAAATAAATGTATAATAATGAAAATGTAATGGCATAAGAAAAAAATTAATTTATTTTCAATAAACAAATTTTGCAATAAATATATTGCTCACAGTGACATCGCTTAATTTAATAAAATTATAAATAATTTTATAAAGTTCAATACGGCATCAATCTAAAGAACAGAAATTTTAACACAGGATATATGATATAAAACTGAATATTGTGTGTTCATTTTTTTCTTACTTATAATGTCGCAATTAAAATTAATAATTATTTTATTTTATACATACATACATACATATATATATATATATATGTATATATTATGTATATACAAGACTATTCGTTATTATATAATTAAATTGATTATTTTAATACGAATTATCAATTCTCACTCCACTACAACTCATGCTAGTCTTTGTGGCATAATAACCCAGGCTCATTAGGTGTGCCGAAAGCATCATGACATCTTCATCTATTGCATCTGGCGGCAATAAAATACATACATATCTTCCACCAAAATTTGTAATTTTTCCCGCAAAACCATATTCTTTCACAATGTCACAAATCATATCAATATTTGGATGTGACAATTTCAAGAAACAAAAATATAATTGATGTAATAGAACGAAATGCTGTAAAGCAAAATTAAGAAATTTAAATTAGAAATGGTACACAGCTATTAATGAATAATCATCGATTTGAAATTGTTGTAATCACAAAGCTATTCAAAATACGTAAGAAAGTAAATCAAAAATAGAAAAAAAACTTACTTTCAATGTTTCATATGCATTCTGTAACTCTAATTGTTTTGTTGGAAAATTGATTTTTTGAATATAATCAATATTTGTAAGAGTATTACAAACCTCCTCTGATATATAATTGATATTATTCAAAATCATATTTAAAATCGTAGAATTGGAAAATTTCATCTCCGCCAATCTTTTCACTTGTTCGAATTTATTTTGGCGAATTCTTGAGTCGATCAGCAGAATTTTTATTTTTGATACGTTCAGAAATCTTTTAAAATTAGGATCTGTCCGATTACCGTGTCGAAATCGTATTATTTTGCCGTATGAGCACACCTCGTTGTCAATATTGCTTACATAGTTTTGTAGAATTTCCTCGCAATACCAAACACGATCCGAAATTTGTTCTAAATCCTCATCACTAAATTCGTCGATACCTTCTTGCAGGCGTGCCCAATGTAGAAAGCATGCCGCGAGACATGTCGCGAACGATGTTGAACTGCCTAGACCAGCGCGCATAGGTAATTGGGAAGTCAGGCACACGTGGAAAGATTTTGCACTTAGCTCCTCGTTTAAAATAGTATAAATAAAGAGGAAAAAAAATGTTTGTAAACTAAATCTTTGTTCGTATGTGCTCCACATGCCGTTTACTGTGATAAAATATTGCACGTGTATAAGCAACATGATGTATTCTTCTATGAAGAGATTAGCGTTATTATTATTATTATATAAAAAGAAATTTAGAACATGTTCTAGAGATAAATTCAAGTATAAATCGATATCAGGGAAATCTATCTCAATGATATTTTTTCGATTATCAGTTATTTCGCAAAATTTAAGCGTTGTTCGAAGATCTATGCTGGCTGATACAACATTTCTTCCATACATCATTGAAGGTTCGCCGGATAAAATTATTCTGCCAGGTGCAGAAACTTTAAATTCAATCTTTTTCAATTTTTTAGCGTCGTCCATTTTTTACGAATAAAAATCTCTACACTCCAAAAAGATCAATAAGTATTAAATAATAAGACGTAAGAGAGATAAACCCTACTGCAATTCTTCTATTGAGATTTATCAGAATTAAATAATATTTATATAACATAAAGAAGGTCATTGCGATTACTGACCAAAAATATTTGTCGCTCCTTTTTCATTTTATATAAGTTAAAAATGTCCACTTTGTATGACAAAAACAATTCTTCAATATCGAATTTGTATTCCACATAAAAATGCACATACAATTTAATCAGATTTTCGTTCTTTTCGTTCTTTCGTTGATTTTTATTGTTAACAGGAATTATAAATTGTCGTTGCTTCTATTTTTATACTTCACATACACAAAAAGTTTATATAATACATTCTAATTTTAACTATTAAAATTTTATAATATATACGGACAACGCGCGAAAAAAAAGATATGAAAATTATTCGGTAACATTCATCATCGCACAAAACACTGTTTATACTTCGTGTCGTACAATTTCGCGTCTTGATCGTTACTGATTTCTTTTTAATAACAATAGCAACGCTCTGAATCTAAACATCGATTACGATGTTGAGACGTTCTCTTTTTCTTTAATATACTTTAATAAGAAAATATTCACAAAACTTACACATAACCTGAAAATTTGAAAATAATATATTATTTGTAATGTGTAAAAGTTAAATAAATTGTCATTATTTTATTTGTACTGATACAATTTATGTGATATTTATATATCTACGTATCGTAGAACATGTATATCTATATTTTTTGTATGTAATATTTTATGCAAATACTAACAAAATATACTTTGACGCACATTATTTTGTAATTGAAATAAAATACTCGTACATTGAATTACATCATTTAATAGAATTCGATTATGTAATTTTGATGCAGGCGATAAGCAGTGCCGCCCTTGTTATTTTTAGATTGCATTGCGTAAATTTTAATTCGATTAATAATAAGTAAAATGCATCATCTCGATTACATCTCAAGAATGAAAATCAAGAAAAGGATAATAATGCTTTGTCTGTTAATTTTTTTACATGCATATATATATATAAAATTTCAGTCTATAAAATAAAAAAAATGAACACTTTTTCTCTTTTACTAACTATTAACAACGCATATATCTGTAATAGTAATTTAAAGATTTCAATATATATGTACACGTTAACTATATTTGTTCAGCTGATACGCACTTTGTTATTTTTGAAAAATTTTTATTTCCTCCTTGCACATATCCCATGATAACATTATACGCGAGAAAGCATAAATGTTTCTTACAAAAAAATATTAATAAAATACTAGTATAAGTTGGCTTTCTTATATGTATGTCCTACTATTTGCATTTGTTAAATTATACCAAAAAAATCATCCTTTTCATTATCATCATATATTGCATCTTTTTTATGCACATCTTTGTTTTTTATGTATGCAAAATTAGACTATATGCACATCTTTGTGTTTTACGTATTCAAAAGTGGACTATATAATAATAGACTATATAATAATCAATCAAAATATACACAGCTATTTATTAACAAAATCAAAAGAGTATATTCACTATAATATTCACTATAAATCACACAAAATCAAAGGAGTACATTCACTATAATATTCAATATTCACTATAATAATGAAATTTATAAAATGAAATGATAATCTTCTACATTATCGAATCGATCTATATTATCGAAAATCATCAAATAAAGTGGCACATAAAAAATTAATCGTTTTGACAAAGTTTACAATAAAAATATTTACAGTAACTCTTCGCTTATAACTTCATAATTTAACATGATATCATTGAAAGAAGAGAAATTAAGGAACAGAAAATATATAAAATTGTGTATTGTTTTTCCTTCCTCGATTATAAAATATAATTATAATATTATAACATTCATAATTTCACTACATTGTTTTTGCTAAATTATTAAGATTTAATTAATCAGATTATGCAATTATTTATGTGCAATTTTAATGTATCTAGTCAAGTCGCACTCCCGTGCAAGATATTGTAACAACTTCGCCAAAAAAATCTTCATCCCCCAAGCACCTTTTAAGATTATATACTTTATCATTGTTTTCTGCATGATAATTCGGCGGTAATAGAATTATTACATTCCTAGCTCCATCTCCTGTGAGTTTTCCCCTGAATCCACAAGATTCTGCAATTGTACAAATCAAATCGATATTCGAATGCGATAAATCCAACTGACGCAGCAAATTTTGATTCGAGGACAATTTCGCCTGCAAAGCATTAAGAAATTTAAATAAAAAAACAACATAATTTCCATTTATGAATAATGATGTATTCGAGATTATTATAAATGCAAAAATAATTGCATCAAACTATACAACGAAATAATTCGCAATGAAATGAAACAAGACTCACCTGTAGATCACATAATGATTGTAAATTCGTGTTTGTTTTCTGATCCCTGATCTTACGGAGTATTTCAACAACCTCTTTCGATATGTAATCGATCTGGTCTAAAAGAACATTGGTGGCGATGCCATCTTTATATTTCCTTTTGGCCAATTGTTTTATTTGTTGCCTCTTATTTTGGCTAAAATTTGCATCAACCAGCAAAATATACATTTGTGGCGTATTTATCATTTCACTCTGGGCGTCTAGCGGTTCTCTACATTGATATGCTATTACACGACCGTGTGTGCACACCATGTGATCCTGCTTGAACACATAATTCTGTATATCTTCCTCAGAGGACATCACGTATGCCGAAATTCGTTCCAATTCTTCCGGAGTAAATCCATTGTGGTCACCTTTCTGTAGACACGACCAATGTAAAAAGCACGCCGCGAGACATGTCGCGAACGACGTCGAACTGCCAAGATCAGCGTTCATCTTTAATTCCGTGGACAAGTGTACGCGGAAAGGTTGTATATCGAGTTCTTCCTTTCGAGCGATAATCAATAGGAGAAAAAAGAAAATTTGTAAGCTAAATCTCTGCTCATATGTGCTCCATAAACCGTTGAAAGTGATAAAATATCCCACTTCTTCAAGGAATTGGATATAATTACTGATTATAATATTATAATTTTCGCGGGAAGTAAAGTTTACAATCATTTGTAAAGGTATGTCTAACGACATATTGACATGGGGGAATTCTATCTTAATCATTCCTGACTCTAGAGGTAGTTGGCGGAATTTGAGCGTGGTACGAAGACCTAAGCTGGCCGCCACAACTTGTTTTCCATACATCACCGTATGCTCTCCGCATAAGATAATCCTACCCGGTGCTGAAATTTTGAATGTAATCATACTTTCTGCGTGCCAAAATCTCTTCTTCGTTGAAAGATCGATGTAGCGTTGATTATAAAATTTTTAATCTGCAACTTTTAGAAATAGATATTAGAAAATGTATTTTTATGTATACAATTTGAAAAGAGGTCATCGAATATTTGAAAATATTTGTTCGTTTTATATAAGTTGAAGCGTAACGTCAGATATGTAATAAAATTAGATAACAAAAATAACGTGTCACTAATATATTATCGAATTATATCGATGCAAAGCAAGAAAAATCCATTTATAAGAATCTACTTATAAGAATTAATATCCAATCGGATATTAATTCTTTCCAATTGTTTTTATTCTCTGCGAACTAAAATCTTCTGAATCCTCTGTCACAATTCATGTTTGCTTCTTCTACCAAGATTCCACACAAGTTGGAGAATACAATATATTTACTATTAAACTATTAAAATTATTTATCATAGAAACAGAGAAGCCACAAATTATTTAAGACGTTACCGGTAGGTTTTGATGTTGTTCAAGCCGCGTTTCGATTATGACTGATTTTGTCTCGTGAAATTCTCAAGCAAGCGCTCCGAATATGCGAACCAAAATATTGACAAGGTCGAAGTTTTTAAAGAAGAATTATACTAAATGTATTTACTTTTTTCACATAATCTGACATCATATATTATTTGCAATGTTAGACTCAAACAAATTGTCAAATAATATATAAATTGCATTGATACAATTTATCTAGTTTTTTATTGTCGCAGTTTTACACACAATATACATATATATATATATATATATATATATATATATATATATCCATAGATTAAGATGTATTATAAAAGATAATATTAGTTGTATTTTGAATTATATTGTTTACTTGTTTAATATAATTATATATTATATATTATATTGTATATATATATTACAATTTTTTCACAGATCGTAACATATAATATGAATTCTTCTAATTGCTAATCATCAAAATCATTGTGAGTATCCTTCTGCAGATGTGAACCAATGTTGAAAGCATGCCGCGACACATATCGCGAACAATGTCGAACTGCCAAAATTAGCGTTGATTCATAATTGTGTAGCCGAGCGCACGTGAAAAGATTTTATATCGAATTGCTCTTGATGAGCAATGTAAAGAAACAGGCAAAGAAATTTTGCAAACTATATCTCTGCTCATATGCGCTCCATAAAGCGTTTAAGGTGATAAAATATTGCACATGCTTATGCAATACAATATCTTCAATCAGAGGAAGAAAATTATCAGTAAAAAAGAAATTTAGAATTAATTTCAAAGATAAATTCAATGATAGGTTTACATCAGGGAACTCAATCTTAATAATGTTTCTTAGATCATCAATTAATTCAACGAATTTAAGAGTGGTACGAAGATCTAAACTGGTTGCCACAACATGTTTTCCGTACATCATCACGTGTTCTCCACATAACATCATTTTACATAGTGCGGAAACTTGAAATGTATTCTCATGTTATACCACTCTATGCGTCTCGGTCCTGACTGATTTTATTTCAACAATAATAATGTTTTCAAGGCCCGAACTTTAATATCGATGTTAAAGTTTCTTAATGCTTTCATCAAAAGTCATTCAAACGTATATGTAAATATATTTATATATATTTGTAAATAATCAGAAAATAATTAAATGTATCATTTTTTATTAAAATTATCTCATTCGCATT